GATGCAAACGTTTAATTTCACTTTGATAAATGTTAAAATAAACGGTTAAATGAGTAACTGTTTGCAAACACAGGTAATATCCACAATCATCCATTTAAGTTTTACGGTTAAACAATTATATCCATATCCGTTTATTTATTTAAACGGTTATCTATAGATGTACCAGTGAGTTTTAAATGGGCTGTCAGGTATTATGCTTACACCTAGTTATACTCGAGGTTTTTCTTTCATAGTGATTGGTTGTTTTTGGAGCCAAAAAAAAAAAAAAAAAAAAAAAAGATAACAAACTAATGCTTGTATGCCACAACAGGGGTGAGCGATTGTATTGTTGTTCTTGTAGATTAAGTGAGAATGCAGTGTCGTGTTTGTTCCACGCTGGGACAAGCTTTAATGAAACTCATCCCGACTAACCAAGACTAACAGCTTCCCTATAGGGTCTTAGCGAGACCCCCCGAAATAGGCCGGATTGCTAAGACCAACTCCTTGCTTCGTCCCCTTCCTCTTCCTACTTGTTCCTCTCAAAATTCGAAACCCAGATCTCATTTACCTACTATGCTCTGCTTCGCCCCTCTCATATACCATTTCAAACCTAAATCCCTCAAAATTCGAGAACAAAAAAGGCAAAAAATTATGCACTCTTTCCATTCTCAAAACCAAATCCAAACCCAAAATTCGATACCAAAACAAAAAAATGGATGTGCATATGAAAAGCACAGCAGTCACCCATTCACACATGCGCAAGAGCAGTTCTAATTACACATGCACTCCAGACTCCCTAATCGCATACCTTCATTGTTGACGCCGGAGAAGCAGAACGATGAGTACCCATATGACTCAAACTCTGATATGGGTTCTAATTTGCCAATTGCATCCTAGAAAAATTAGAAAAAGAAACAAGGGAGATGAACGAAGAAAAATAAGAAGAAAAAGGTGGAGATGAAAAGGGAGAGGGACAAAGAAAAAGAGGGATTAGGACGAAGTAACTTATGAAGGGCGAGGGAAATGAACAGAAAAGAAATAGGAAAGCACTACAGAGGTTTCTAGAGGGGAAAAATATAGACAAAAGTAAGAATAAAATAATAATAAATCTGAATTAATAATATAAAATAATAATTATAATGAATTAAATAATATAATATTAGAATTTGTTATTGTTTTTAATTGGAGTAATTAGGTTTTCATCCTTATTTTTACTACTCTATTGATTAAAACCTTATTATTTTTCAATTTTTGATCAAGGTCCTTTGTATTAATAATATCATTAATTATTTCAATAATAAAATATTTTTTATTTCTAAATATATTCATTTAATATTAAAAATGTTACAATTAGTATATTTATTCTTATGGCCAAATTTTTTATCATATATTTTTATTTTTAGTTTGTACCCATTTTTAATTTGCAACCCCTTTTTAATTTGTACCAATTTTCCTTTCAGTTTTAATTTGTACCCATATATTAAATTCTTTTTGTGCCCATATTTTTTAAAGTTTTATTTGTATTGTACCCATATTTTTTTATTTATTTGTACCCATTTTTATTTTTGCTAAATGTACCCATTTTGAAGAATGTACCCATGTTTTGATACAATAATTTTTTGGTTATTTTTATGAATGTACCCATGTTTACACACACACACACACAATAGTATATTTATATTTTAATATTTTTAATCCCACAAATTATGGTTTTTTATTTAAAATCTCATTACTATAAACAACTATAAATTTTAATTTTTAATTTAAAAAATATAGTAACGTACATAGAAATAAATTATCAATTAATTTCAGGGACTTGGATCAAAAATTGAAAACCAATAAGGTTTCAGTCAAAGATTGTTCATAACTAGGGACCGCATCCAAAGTCTCCCTTTTTAATTATTAGTCCAACACACCAAACGCTTGTCTAACTTAGTTTAGTTTAAATCAGTTCAACTTAGTCCACAAAGCTAATCCATTCAAGATAATCCAACACAACAAATGCACCCTTATAGTTTGATTTGCGCCTTGGACTGCCATTGATCTACATCAGTTTAACACTACTCTAACATCAAAGAAGTAGATGCAAAATGAACAGACACTTCTTACAAGGCCAAGAACGAATCAATCAATTTATAAGAAAGCAAATACAAATGCATCGCACCGTAAAAGAAATTCACAAAGCATTATAATTGTAGATGTTTGCTCAAAAGGTTTCTCCAGAAAAGTAGACTTCAATTGTACATGCATTGCGCAAGTAGCCCTCTAACGGATAAGCGTTACTCTCACACAATTATTTGAGTTTTATCGACTCACTAATTTAACATCTAATCTACAAATTTAAATTTCATCGACTCTCTAATTTAATATCTAATCTAACAATACATATTCAAATTTCATCAACTCCCTAATTTAACATTTCTATTATTTAACAGAGAAAAAATAGTACCCATTCTTTCCAAACGGAGCCCGACTAACTTCCGAGACAAGTCCGTTCCATAACCCCGACCCGGTTAACAAAGTGGGCCATTCGTATATCTGAATTTCGTAAATTATTTGATGAACTTAGAACAAAATTGTTCAACGTCGGAAATAAAATAGAACAAAATTAACACAAAAATAAGAAGAATAATAATTAAGCAGCAAAATCAAATGAAAACAAGTAGATTTTCGATTCAAATCCAAATTCAAAACATAAAATTGAAGCACTTCCATACCTAATTCTACCCACCAACCAACCCATTTACAAAATCCCCAATCCGAAACCCTAATAACCTAACCCCCAAACCCGTAGAGAGTCCTGCCCTGCCTCTTGAGCGCGTAGACGACGTCCATCGCCGTCACGGTCTTCCTCCTGGCGTGCTCAGTGTAGGTCACAGCGTCACGGATCACATTCTCCAAGAAGATCTTGAGCACTCCCCGGGTCTCCTCGTAGATGAGGCCACTGATACGCTTGACGCCACCACGGCGAGCCAGACGGCGGATGGCGGGCTTGGTGATGCCCTGGATGTTGTCCCTCAGCACCTTCCTGTGCCTCTTGGCTCCCCCCTTTCCCAGCCCCTTGCCTCCCTTGCCGCGTCCCGTCATTGCTGCGAAATGAATTTGGAGTTTCGATTTGGGGTCAGATTTTCGAATTCGGTGTGCAGATGTTTGTGGGGAATGAGAGGGAAGGTGGGGTGTTTATATAGAGAGAGGTTTGGGAGTGAAACGTGGGTTTTGTGTTTGTTTACGTGAGATTTCGGGTTTGGATTGGTCGCAATCGACGGTTGAGGGCTGCCATCCGTGCGTGGGTTTGGGTGATGGGGGACCGTGGATTGTGTGTGGATCGACGACTGGCGGGGAGTTGAAGACCGGTGTGCGGATTCTGGGTTCACGAGGATCGATGATGTGGCGAGTTTTGTGTTTTTTCGACAGAAATGACTGTGGACCGTTGGATTTAAGCGTTAACTACGTCTAGATAATCGGGGCGACTCGGATTGAGCTTTGTTTTTTTTTTGCGTCGTGAATGAACTAATTAACTAATCACTTAGCACAAACATGAAACTATCCTTCCAATTGATGTTTGAAAATGGTTTAACAGCAAAATTGAATTTTCGAGATTGAGGTCGGACAATTTGTCTCGAACAATTTGTAAATTAAATGATGTATCACTAATAAGAAATAAGTGCGTTAATCAATGCTTAAATAATAATCAAATAATCAACGAGAAATATCATATAAAAACTAATTCCAAATTAGCTAAAAATAATCAACAAAATACAAAAGTTTAATAAATTATAAATTGGGGGTGAAAATTATAGGTTTCTTACTGTTAAATTATTAACCTCATACGTATGGGTGAATAGCTAAAAATACGGGGCTAAATTTTGAAATTTTAAACCTTTATGTTGGAGATAGCCTAATGATAGCTCTTTCTAATGTTGAAGAAGGTTCATTGTTTGAATCATTAACCCTAGTCCATAAATGAATAAAAGGGCCATGGTTCAAGTACATTCTCGTCAATCTACAGGACTAGTGACTAGTCTACCTTATATTAACTAAGGGTCAAGTACAATAAGTAAGGGCATATTTACTTAATTTTCACGTACGAAAATGATATTAGATCAATGTATAAATGATACACAATTATTCAGAGTTGGTGGTGGTGGTCGTGATTCATTAGTGCGGTGGTGCCTTGGATTGTGAGATTAGATACGCATGTGGTCACTGTAGTGGCTTGAAGATAGACAAATAGATGGCCATCAAAGAGAGAGACTGAGCGTCTAGAGTCTAGACGGAGAGAAAACAAACAAATTTGTTAAGAGCTCATTATTAACAGAATTTTAACGAGTGACCTGATAACAATCCAACTAGTTAACGTTTGTGTCGAATTAACGAGTCATGCAAGAAATTACCAGGTCTAATTCCAATGGGCGAGTTGGAAGTAAAGGGTTAATTAGGGATTGGCATGGTAATTAGATTATTGCTTTTATGAAAGGGGTTCGGGAATTTCTCCGCTTTGCACTATGGTTTGAAGATGGCTAAAACAAGAAACTTTTCTTATCTAATTGTGGAGGTGGATTCTTCTTTGGTGAATGATTGTTCTGGTGTTGCTAGAGCTAAATTAGTTGTTTTTCTCTTCTTCTCTCATTTAACTGAAAAATCTCGTGAGTAAGTAGAGAAAAGTTGAAACTCAAATCTCAAAAATGATTATAACTTATACAAGTCAAAGTTTAGCGTGACGATCATGGGATTGACATGACAAACCCAAATTACCTGATTCGACGAGGTAGTCCTGTAGTGCTAACGAAAGAAAATTACAAAACAAAACTACGCGTGTTGACGCTCTGGACCAAAAGAAATCGGAAAAAAATAGCCCCTTTTGTGTACCTACAAGTAAATATCTGTAAACAACTCATCAACTTGTGGCTGTAGTTTAGTGGTAAGAATTCCACGTTGTGGCCGTGGAGACCTGGGCTCGAATCCCAGCAGCCACACTTTCTTTTTCTTTTCCCTTTTTATTTTTCAATACCGACACGCAATACGACGCCGTTTCGTCACTGTAATATATCAGTTTGTCTTTCCTCGACGCGCAGCACAAATAGTTTTCGCTAGTTTCAGAAGGCTCAAGCTTCGTCATTGACTGAGTAATCGACTCCAAAAACTGTAAGATTCTCGTCCTGTTTCTCAATTCTTCGGATCATGATCACTTCGATCCGTAAGATCTCGAAATTCATGATTCCAGTTCGAATTCTTTGCTTTGTTTTGCTAAGCAATTGCGGTTTTGTTTATCCGTTTCGTAGATCTATATTCTGGACAGAGTCATTTGGAATTATTTAATTATTAATTTGGTTATGGGTTTTGTATTTGAAGTCGAACAGTTGAATTCTTTGAAAGAATCGTGTTTTGATGTATTTGGGTTTGGAAATTGGATGCTTAGCTGAATACGGATACGAAATTCAAGCATTGTTTTGCTAGTGTAATTGTGAGGAACGAGAGGAACGAAGGGTAATTCAAAGGAAGCTTAAGAATTTTTAATCGCTACGTATGCATTTGCGTCGAGAATATAAGTGTTAATGGGTGTTTTATGATTTACGAAATGTTGCCAAAGGAAAACAATTGGGAACGAATAGATGTAGTAATATGAATTGGACACATGAAAGGTTTAGTTGGGTATGATTTTCTGTTTCCTTAGAACACTTAACATTTCCGATTAACATACAAGTTATGAACACAACCCGATTTCCTCTGTATGCTTTATTTGTTGATTTCAATCGTTTCTGCGATGTTGCTTGTTTTCTGGTTGATAGTTTTTGAGTTTGAACTTCATTTAGATGTGATCTTTTTGTAGGGTCAACTAGGGCACGTTTGATAACCATTTCATTTTTGGTCTTTTAGTTTTCATTTTTTGTGCTTTAGATAGATGAAAAGCATGTGGGAGAAGTGAGGAGCGGAGAAGGATGAAGGGAGGTGATGGGAGCGATGATGGAGAAATAAAGGAGATTATGTGAAAACAAAAACTTGAAAGTGAAAACAACTTAAACTTTTTTACAGTTTTTGGGTTGTAGTTTTCATTTGTTGTGTCATTCCCTACACATTCCCTTTCACATTTATTCCGTCATACTTCCTTCACCCTTATTCCGTCATCTAACAAGTGTGTGTAGGAAACCTATTTAACAAGTATTTCACATGCTATTGAGGAACACTGAATTCTTCTGCTAAACTTTCTAGTTTTTCCGTTTTGATGTCACAGATGATGGATGACCAGGACCTGGGCTTCTTTGCCAATTTTCTCGGCATCTTCATATTTGTACTGGTAATAGCGTATCATTATGTGATGGCCGACCCAAAATATGAAGGCAACTAATGATCTGTTTCTTTTTTATGTATTTGCAATAGAGATGCAATTTTCTTGCGACTAATGGAGATATCCTATTAATTTGTAGCGTGAACTATTTCACAACGGATGCAGCTTGATTTACGTTATACAATATGACTATGTTCTGTTATACACATTATTTTCTTCTCTATTTTAGCTGTGCTTCATATTTAATTTTCCACACCTTTACATTATGAAGGGTGTTGTCCGTGCTCGGATTGTGTTTTGAAGGTTCCCATTGGCTGTGATAGTGAATCAAGTGATCAGTTGTTCGTAGAAAGTGCAAAAAGCATATTTTTAGGGTTCACCGAAAAGAAAATTATGTTTGGTGCATTGTTCAGGAAGATTAGGATTCATGGTTATGTATATGATCTAACCAAATTACAATGTGTACTGAGGTCAATTGAAGATTGGCAAATCTAATAGCATTTGCCAATTAGTTAGATGTATTGTTAAAGTGAACCATCTCTCATAGGAGCTATGTGTTATAATTCTGACTCGCCTCTAGATCTTGCTCTTTGACGTATCCCGCAAAAAACTAAACTTAGCAAATTGGAGAATAACTAGAACCACACAAGAATTATACTAGTTTGGTGGAACTTTAGCCTACATCCAGTTGTGATTTCCCTGAGTAGAGAAACCACGACTTCTTTGATTAACAATAGAGTTACAGTATTTTTGCAAACCCTAGAACTAATCCCTCTCTTTCATGCGGCTCTCCCTCTCTCTTTCCAACGGCTGTCTCTAGCTTCACACACTTTCCATGGCCTTGCCACACCATATTTTTAAGTATAGGGTGGTTTACATGATAGCCGACCCCACTTAGTGGGAAAAGGCTTTGTTGTTGTTGTTGTTGGGTGGTTTACATGCCTATTTTATGATTATTTTCTTATTCTAAAGAACACTTTCTTTCCTTTTCCAAATTATCTTCTAGGATTCCCAATTTAATTGTACAATAAAACTTTGATTCTTTCCTAGTCCTTTTAATTTTATTAAAAGAATCGGTACACCTTTAATTTTCTTACTATAACACTAAACAAAATAGGACACTAACTGTGAGTCTGTGACGAGCCAAAATCTTAAACACTATGTAGGCGCATTCAATTTGACTAGTTTTCTCACTTCTTTCTTCATCTCCATTGTTTCTCTCATCACGCTTGGAATGCAGAATCCCAGGCTAGTCAAACAAAGAACCATTTGGCTCTTATGTTTCTCTTCACTGTCACTAGTATGTACCTTGTCAGCCACTTCCTGCAAATGTTGAAGAAAGCTACTCACAATAGTCTCAACATCATCAGTACAACCCAAAGTCGCAAATCCCCTCGGTGGTTTGCCCAAATCACTGTCATGGTAATCACTTTCCGACATTGTCTCGGATACCGGCAGGGACTTAATCGAAGACGCCTCCTCAAGGCAACCCTTTAGCAGCTCTAGATCAGCATTCATTTGTTGCCTTAGTTCCTCCCAAACACCTCCAAAGTTCTGCTCTACTTGTGCGAGAAACTCCGTCTTATAGGCCACAAATAGTAAAAGATCAGCGATTTTTGATAAAGATCCTAGGACCCGATTGTAACTGGCACCCTGGAAGGGCAAGAACCAGCAATTAGGCTCTGTTTCAGCTTCTTGGATGAATGTTTCTAGTTCTTTGACATGGGACTTGAGCTTCCTCTGCTTTTCCCTCAATCCTGTAGAAGCCGGTACGCAAAGATTTAGGGCTCGTTTGGATGTGCTACTCTATAAAGCGCTTTTACTCACTAGCGCTTTTTGTTTGTAGCACTTTTCAATAGCGCTTCTATGAGGAAGTAGTTTGTTGTTTGGCATGCAACCAACTAAGCGTTTTTGTATTGGATAGAAGCGTTTTTGATATTAAATAGAGTGTTTGGTTGTCAAATGAAAAAGCGCTTTCATTAATAATTCTCAATAATTTTTGCATAAGTATTTTTTGTATATAATTAGCATACAATTTGATTAAGAGTCGATGAAAATTCAATTACAAAAAATAATGATCACTAACAAAATTATACATACTTATTGAGAATATGTGTTTGTTTCTTGAAAACAAAATGACACGTTATAGTTGCATGACAATCAAATGTGAAATAAGCATTAACTAGATATAAGAAGATTAGCAATCCTTTCTCGTTCAACATCCATCTCTCGCCTATGAGTAAAATTTTCATCAACAATTTCTTCATCTCTATGATCTTCCTCATGTCCAGGTGGAAGTAGCTCATCATCATCATCATAAGGTTGGAACTCTTGATCTGTCATGGAATGCTTCCTAATAAAATTGTGTAAGGCCATTGAAGCAACAACAATTTGTACCTGTTTTTCAAAAGGGAAGTTACGCATGAGACGAATCATTGTCCATCTATTTTTCCAAACACCAAAAGTTCTTTCTATTGTGCATCTTAAGGATGAATGTCTCTGATTAAATATCTCTTTTTTCCCTCTTGGATGACTTCCACGTCGAAATTCAGGAAGATGATATCGTTCACCCCTATAAGGTCCAATATATCCATTCATATGTGGATATCCAGCATCAACTAAATAATATTTGCCTACACCATAATTGAAAAGAAAAATATAAAGATTTTTGTGTTCATAAGATAATAAATAAATAAACACATTCATATAAGACTAAGGTTGATTACTAACCAGAAGGGGGATAAGGAAATTTCAATTCTGGTCTTCTCAAGGCCTCCATGAATATACGTGAATCATGAGCAGCACCCTCACATCCAGCCCAGACAAATGTGAAACACATATTAAAATCACATACAGCCATAACATTTTGAGTTGTATTTCCTTTTCTACCTATATATGGCACTTGCATTTCTCTAGGTACCACAACTGGGACATGTGTTCCGTCAATTGCCCCTATGCAACCTTTAAAATATGGCCAATACCGATTGTCATCCTTAATTTTATTTGATACTCTCTTGAATTGCCGATCATGTGGACATATAATATCAGTAGCCATGCGAGAAACAACATCTAATAGTATCCCAAACCACCTAGAAACAGTCTCTCTCAGAGCGTTGAAACCTTTCTTGGACCATCCTATTAGTGTGCCCATGACCTAATGTGTTTAGAAACATTGCTAATGCTTCTTCTAGGGTTATATCTCCAATTCTTTTTAAGCCATAATCACGCTTCAAAGTCTCTAACAAGTCCTTAAAAACATGTTGTTCCATCCTAAATTGTTCATGGCATCTTATAGGATGACCATTTAAAACTTCCATTACCCATCTATATCCCGTATACGAAGAAGTCCTACAAGGTTCTTTGTCAACATACTTTAACCATTCAGAGACAGCCGTGACACAGCTTGCAGAAACCAGTTGATAAAATTCATCATCACTTCCATCAGTAGAGTTGTTTGTATTGCTACTATCACTGCTGCTAGAACTCATATCTTGACCGTCATTTTGTTCGCATGTTGGAGCTTTTTGGACATTATTACTCATCAACCCTTGTGAGGGTGCCCATGCACCTACACCTGTAACAGCTCCTTCTTTAAACAAAATGTCCAGTTGGTCAACATTTTTCAATCCACTATTTCGATATTTTGCAACTTCAGAATTCTCCTGAAATATGACCAACTGCAATTAACAAATTATGATAAAAGAACATAAATATGAAGTTAGATTTCCATGGATATGAGATAATAATTTCTCACCTTCACTTTTTTCTCCCACCACTCATCACTTGCAATGATAGTTGCTTCACAGGATCCCATCCTAAGCCAGTCTCTTTTCCAACTAATGATGCCCACAATTGCCATTCTTTCTTAAGTGCAGTCCATTTGTTCTTGAGTTGTTTATGAACATATGACCTTTGAGTAAGGTCATTAAATTTTTTAATAACATTTTTCCATCCAATTCTATTAAGATGACCACCTGTTTGATTTCCGGCTAATGTCTCAGCTATACAAACACTTATAAATATCTCAACACTTGCATCATCCCACATTGCCTTGCTCTTTTTTTCGTTACCTTCTCCACGATCTTGCATATCTTTAACTATATTCTTAGACATATCTATAAAGAGAAGTGGAAAAAAACCATAGCACATAATAAGAGCATATACCACTACTTACGTCCTAGCTAACAACACAAAAGTAAATTAAAAGCAATAATGCAAGATTTGTAACTAGTATTTGTTATATATAATAATGCAGTACACCGTTGTTATATATAATAATGAAGTACACCATTGCATATGTATCTAGTATTTGTTATATATAATAATGCAGTACACCATTGCATATGTATCTAGTATTTGTATATATAATGCATGATATGTAACCATTAACAATAAATTCATTAGTGTTGCTTTCTGTTGTCATTAGAAGTTAATTTGCTATTAAACCTGCAAGTTAACTTATAACGCGACATCAAATCTCGGCATCAAACCTGCAAATTAACTTTCTGTTGAGCAGATTGTAGAAATATCTCTACTGCATGTTGAACAATGCTTGCAGACCAATTAATCTAATTCCTTTTTTTTTTCTTTCATAGCGTTGTGTTTACATAAACGATTAACAAATTAAACAAATACTTTTTAGTGTAAAAATATGATTTTTCGTTAAAGTAAACAATACTAGAAGCTTTTTGTTAAAGTTCATTTATTACAAAGGCCGAGCAATGTGGTTTATTGTTAATTCATATACTTAATGATGAACCTGCGTTCTCCACTGTCCATGCATGATGTCACATTATATATATATATACATGTGGGACTGCATTATACATGTGCTTAATTTGAGCTAAATAAATAAGTACAGGTACTTATTTAGCTAAATTTGTAGAGTACTCTCACTCTGCAAATAATCAAAGTGACAAATAGCTTAACAAAGAAAAACTTCAGCCCATATATAATTAGGGCTTGAGAGATCATAGTTCCTACTATATATGTTGCTAGAAATCGAACAAAAAAATTATAACAAACTGTAGCACATGCATCCTCTGTAAACATCTCGATCAATGATAGGAAACTGGAGATGGTTTTACTTGTGTTAGTTTGATCATGAGCGTTTTAATAAGTTGCTGTTAGAGTTAATTAACTGGATAGGCAACATATATAATTTGCTCATCAGAGAATGAATCAGGAAAATTAGAAATATCATGAAAAAAATGCAGAAAATACCATTGGAATATCAATGAACGATCACTAAACCCTAAAATTATTTTCGTGTAGTTCAAAAATCACAACAATTTTGATAAAAATAACATATCAACAATCAAATTCACACACTACATACAAATTTTAAGATAAGAAATAGCAAACATACCTCCACAAGAATTTTAGGTGATGGAGATTTGGGGAAGATGGAGAGGAAGAGATGGAGACCAAGATGACTTCTCCAGCCACCAAAATATTATGAAAATAAAAGACTTCTAGGTTTTTAACGTGCAAACCTATAAAAAATTGGTGATGTCAATTTTGATGTTTTTTCAAGTGTAATGGCATTTTAGACTTTGCAAATTAAAAAATAGGGATAATTCGGGAATTGAAAAAAATTCATTAAAGGGAGCAAAGTGCTTCCCTTGTTTTCTCTGCATAGCACTTTTAGGAGGAAGCACCTCCTAGGTGCTTCTTAGAAAATGCTTATTAGTGCTTCTACTTCTAACTAAAAGCACTTTTAAAATATTTGCCAAACGACCATTTTTTAAAACTAAAGCGCTTTTACTCATTAGGAAGCGCTTTTGACTCTTTCAAAAGCACAACCAAACAAGCCCTTACTCCTCCTATACAATCTCGAAGCGCCTCCATGCTTTGCGAGAGCTTATTTTTCGCTAGGGTCGCTGCTCTCATCGGATAAAAGACAATCTCTACTAAAAGGAAACAAAGTAGTCCAATGGATGCCTCTATCATTCTTGCAAATGCAAATTCACTTGGAGGACCATGGTTTTCCCTACCCAAGATAAGTAATGCTGCAATGGCTGCCGAGATCCCACCAGCTTGGCCATACATCCTGCTATGCCTAAGAAAATGGCAGAAAAAGATCCAAGGTATGAGTGGTAAGAGCTTGAATTTCTCAAGTCTTTGGAAAATAAATAACCATATGATTCCATAGATCGATCCCAGTGCCATTCCTTGAACTCGAGCATTTGTAACTGTGAATGTTGCTTGCCGTCCTGTTACAAAGCTGAAGGCAATGGCGAGGCCTGACCAGTACCCGTTTTCCTTGTTATACAACAAGCCGAATAACACAGCAAGGCCTAATGCAAGTGAGCACTTGAGAGCAAAAATTATACTCCTGGTACTTGGGATTATGTTTCTCCAAACAGTTTTGAAGTTCCACCGCCGTTGATTTTGCGAATCACTGGGTTGTTGGTTAGGTTTCCTAGTGTTTAGAGGATTCCAGGCAATGGGTTGGTTTTCTAGGAGGAGTTCCATGCAGTACAAGAGGAAAAAAGCCGGAAGATTCTCACGGTTATTGGTGGTGGGTTTTCCGGCCCAAAGTGGCTTGTCGAAGATTTCTCTGTATGACTTCGGAGCCAATGTTGCATCGGAAGGCAAAGAGTACTTAGCTTGCAGAAGCCTTAGGCTAACCTCTACTTCTGAACTTTGTAAATTGCGTCTTAGGTCTTCATCAATTAGGTTTACAGGATGTGAAGAGCAACTAGATAAAGCTATTTCGATCCCCCTCAGTGGAACCTCAATTTCTTGCAACCTTTCACCTGAGTCCAGATAATTTGGTTTCAGAAATTTGATATGTGGTCTCTCCCACACCATGGTTTCCTGCTTACAAAGAAACAAAAACCTTTAATTACCTTACAGAGCTAATTCACGAAGCTCAAACTTAATTGCCTATTACAATTTGACACATGCAAAAAAAATTTGTTTTGTGCTTTTTATGAGCTATTTTTGTATGCGTCAAACTATAATTTACAGGAAGAAGCAAAGTAATGTCATTTTGTGAGTTATTAGTAGTTTACCAGATTATTACTGATGCTTTGAAGAAGCTTAGCTGCTTCTTTGGAGAGAGATTGTCCCCGAGAGAGGAATTCGAGCGCTCCGCTCTTGTCCCGGGAAGAGATGGCCTCAACGAAGCAAGCTAACCTCTGAGAAGCATTTCCGGCATACATGCGCCATGATTTACTGACCTGCGAATGCATTATTTCCATTTCAGCTTACATAATTTGCACATAAATGATTATTCCCTTGCAGGCACAATCCTACTATTTGCAGTATGGCTAGAATGTGATCTAGCTAGAATGAGTAGTTCTTGTTGTCTCAGTGTGGTGTTTTATTCGATTTCTACATCTTTAGCCAAACAGATCTTTTAGCATATCAAGCGGGAGATATGATCAATTACCGCAAAAATGTTAACAGTACGATATTCTAAACTACTATAATTTATAGAAGATATAGCAAAAACACTATTTTAATTATCTGTTACACGCACGCAAATGCTAGATGATACGTAGATTTTCTTTTTCTTTATTCATAAGGAAGGAAAACAATGTTTTGACGTAACCTAATTATAATATGTTTTCTTACACGTCCTCACCACTTGAACTAACCAGAATGGCTTACATGGATCGTTTTCTTGTTCTTTAGGATTTAAGAGACAATTACACAAGACCAAAGGGCTTTTACTGTTGTTTCGATTCCGGCAGTCTCGACAAACAAGAAGCTGCCATCTGCCGTACGACGCTGTTTTGTTGCAAACTTTGTGTTTCCAAATTAGCTGGATGCATGTATTATAATTTCCTCGTTCTGATTGGTTCAGTTATCAAAGCTCTAAACTAATATAGTTTAGACATATAAAATGCAACTAATTAGTAGTTTTTAACTGATAAGTATATATACAAGCTTTTACAATGATATCTATAATAGATTACGCGCCCTACCTCAGGCCCTGTCTGTTTAGCTAGCAACGTAAGTCTGACAAGAAAATAATACTTAGTAAAATGCATGTGTAAAGAGTTTAAAGAAAATAAACTGGATAGTTACCACATAGTAAGATAGCCGAGGATAAGGAAACAACATAGCAACAACAGAAGCGAAAGCTCCAAGGGCAGTGCTTGATGCAACACCAAGTGGATGCATGACAACCCCAGTTTGTGCTCCATGAATCACAGTGCCAACATAAACAATCACAAACTGCCCAAACGCAATTCTCTTCGACAACAAGTGCGTGGACTCCGGCAAAACCACCACAAAAGCACTCAGAGCAACTGCCACCGCCGCTACCTCCACCGTGAAGTTTTTAGGCTCCACCAGCCAAAGGGTCAGCACAGAAGACAACAGTACCTGTGCCGTGGCAAAGATCACATGCCAACAGCTTCTCATGACGTCCCCAAGCGTTGCGTCCGGGGCTATTAGGATTGTGGTCATGTACGAAATGGACGGGTAGGTTATGTACTTTTTAAGTTGTGGAGGTCCATAGGACGGTGCAGTCGACAATGGTGCATGCCAAAGCCGTGCGAAGGGCGAAGCCTAGGCGCATCCGCCACATCGATTGGGTTTGGTAATCCCCCATTGTCGTGGAGACAGATAATTTATGCTCACGGACACTTGTGAAGGGCGAAGCCTAGGCGCATCCGCCACATCGATTGGGTTTGGTAATCCCCCATTGTCGTGGAGACAGATAATTTATGCTCACGGACACTTGTGAAACAAGGAATTAATGGTGTGAATGGGTTTTTGCGCTTCAAGTGTTGGGAAGCTTGTTGGTTTTGCATACAACCCGATGACTGATGAGCATGCATGAAGGGTTGAGAGGAAAGGCTGGTTTGGAGGAGAAGGAATACATACATTATCTATGCTCTCATGGAGCAACTTGTATATTATATTTATACTAGAAGCTTGACCTTTCAAAGAGAGGCTCACGTATTTATACTTCATTTCAGATTACATCAGGGAAAGCAATCCCTATTTACAAGGCTATTCAAAATCACACAAAGAAAACTTATCCAAGAAACAAGAAACACTTAAAAGAGTTGTAACCTAAACTAACTCTGCATGGATAAGAGTTTGCAGTGAGCACAACTTCCTGAAGTCGCGGGAGCATGATCCACCCACCGACTTGGTCTAACAAACTCAACATCTAATCACCGGCATTTTTTAAGTTTTTTTTTTTTTTTTTATCTTTTTGCTACTGGAGAAAATAAGAGTTTTGATTTGTTTTTTTTTTTTAGTACATCGATATTTTTACACTAAGGGAAATGAGAGTTCGGCTAAGCCACACAATGGGCAGCCTAATTTGGAAACGAATAGATGTAGTAATATGAGTTGGATACATGTTATGAACACTTAACATTTCCGATTAATATACAAGTTATGAACACAACCCGATTTCCTCTGTATGCTTTATTTGTTGATTTCAATCGTTTCTGCGATGTTGCTTGTTTTCTGGTTGATAGTTTTTGAGTTTGAACTTCATTTAGATGTGATCTTTTTGTAGGGTCAACTAGGGCACGTTTTGATAACCATGTCATTTTTGGTCTTTTAGTTTTCATTTTTTGTGCTTTAGATAGATGAAAAGCATGTGGGAGAAGTGAGGAGCGGAGAAGGATGAAGGAAGGTGATGGGAGTGATGATGGAGAAATAAAGGAGATTATGTGAAAACAAAAACTTGAAAGTGAAAACAACTTAAACTTTTTTACAGTTTTTGGGTTGTAGTTTTCATTTGTTGTGTCATTCCCTACACATTCCCTTTCACATTTATTCCGTCATACTTCCTTCACCCTTATTCCGTCATCTAACAAGTGTGTGTAGGAAACCTATTTAACAAGTATTTCACATGATATTGAGGAACACTGAATTCTTCTGCTAAACTTTCTAGTTTTTTTGTTTTGATGTTACAGATGATGGATGATCAGGACCTGGGCTTCTTTGCCAATTTTCTCGGCATCTTCATATTTGTACTGGTAATAGCGTATCATTATGTGATGGCCAACCCAAAATATGAAGGCAACTAATGATCTGTTTCTTTTTTATGTATTTGCAATAGAGATGCAATTTTCTTGCGACTAATGGAGATTGTTGGAAATTATATATTATAATATGAAATATTGTAATATATAATTTTAATAATTGAATGAAAAATAGTGTTAACCAATTTCTTAGAAACGTTATGTTGTTTAAGTGATATTCCCTTGATAAGTGATGTATACTTATAGTGAAAAGTTACATCTCTTTAATAAGTAGAAGTTGGATTCTATATAAACCCATGAAACCATTGGTATTAGATATAGAGAAATTAGAGTTAATTTTTACTCTTGAGAAATAGGGTTTCCCCACTTTATTTCTCTCATTCTTAGTCAAACTCCGAGTCGTGTCTTGAGAGTACGGAATATATGAAGTTCGCCAGAGTCCGAAGATTGAAGTGCTTTAACTTCGGATTATAGATTGTTGAATCCTGGGAGATAGACGCCTATCGAACTACAAGCACAAGAGTAGGGGCGAAATTCTATCTTTAGAACATTGCATTTATGCAAGCCTCAATCTCCAAGTTTGTCAGTTCTCTAACTTTCACTCTAGTTGTTTATATTAATCTCATATATAATTGATGTTGTGAATTTCTTTATTATTATTGTTATTATTGGAATTATATTGTTATTTTTCATATTTTCTAATATTGCTCCAACAATCTAAAGATAGAATTTTTTTCTCTTGCAATATTAGAGAGTATGAGTCTGAGTACGTAATAGAAGAAGTTAAAATCAATAACATTGAACGTAGCCCTAAATGCTAAGTAGAAGAAATTCTGATGTTGCTTTGGAAAATTTGTGGGGCTGGATTTTACGTGCATATTGATGTATATTAGTTTATTTGATGTGCTTGAATTCTTGATATATACAATAATGTCTGTATGTTGCCACACTAGTGGAAATTGCATTGTGTATATACTAGAAGATGTTTTTCGGTTTTCATCTGGCAGTGATATGTGTGCTTTCATTGTCTGCATATGTATGTTACAACATATATGCCTTCTTGCTTGGTTATTCTCACTAAAATGAATCTGCCATGCGTATGAGATTAAAAGAATTAATAAATAGATTTTTCTACATTTGACAGTGATAGGGTATTGATGTCTTTGGCCATTTACCACCATGTTAAAATTTGAATTGTCATATGGGCTGATGCCCAGAGTGTTTCTTTCAAAGAACAAAATTAAATTATTTCATGAGTTACTGATAAGTGACCTGGATATCTCCATGAAAAGGTATTCGGTACTTTAACCAATCAGTTTAGTGTGGTTCGTGGTTGGGGCTGAAATCAAATATGGCTATTCTAAATTTTCTTTGATTATCATGATTGGTTTTGAGACATTTTCAGAGAAAACATGGATATATTGATAATATATGTTACACTGCAATCATGAATCTTTTGTTTCACATATGCGATTCTCATGATTCAATTGCATCATTCATGAATATCTGGCAAGTATGTTTGGCATTGACTTTTCTATTAGAAAGGAGGTGACGGTTAAGGTTAAATGAAATGGCTTGATTCAAAAATTTGCATTATTTGCAAATATAAAAGGGCAATAATGTGTACCAGTTCGTGGACTGATACAATGTTTCTTTCTTGGGACAAAGGAAATCAATTTTTGATTGGGCACGAGGATGATTAATCGGGTTTGTTGAGAAAACCCTTATATTCATAAAGATGTCAGCGAAAGCTACTACCCAAATAAAATGGGGTTGTTCTAAATTTGTATTGAAACAGTTTGGAAAACTCCAGTAGAAGATATGAACCCAACTTCCATGGTATCATAGAATATAAGATGATTATTCATATTTATTCATGGAAAGAATGGAATACATATGAAGGAAATTGAACAATTACTCAGGCATATGTGTGCATATGCAAAATTGGGTTTAGTCTTTAGTCATGGTCAGTCATGATAAGAACCCAGAAAGTGGATAAATTTGGCTTTGAGAAGCAACGAAAATAAAATGATAAACTGAACTCATTTTAGATGAGTTATCTGCCAACGTCGAAAAACGCTTATTTAATTATGGGGTCAAAGTCCAAGACTTATATTGAACCATGTGGAGGTTAAGTTGTAGAAAGATGCAACTATTTAACAAATGGATGGTTTTGTAATGTGGTGGAATTGAAAATTGAAATCTGCCATGAAATTCAAAGGAAAAGCATGTCATTTGAAGTG